GGGCCGTCTGTGTGCTGTGATCAACACCCTTCTCGGGGGTTCCAGCCAGGGCACAGAGGGGGTTACCAGGCGTGGGACATGACCTAGGCTCTCTGCAGCCTGTGGGACAAGGCTGAGGAGTGAGCAAGAGTGCCTGGGAGTGAGGTAAATTCCATGTGGCACAGCCCACCTGTCAGACCAGAGCTGGCCACCAAGGCCCTGGGGGTCCTGGGTATGCCCCTCACTCCAGGCTCTGCAGGGAGGAGCAACTCCTGGACTCCAATTTGGGCAAGGCAGTCCATCCGGGCCTTGGTAAAGGCACCACCTTGTCAGGTTCCCAAGCCACAGCCCCATTTCAGGCACCCAAGGGGGCTCCCTCATGACTCACCCATCTTCCCATCCTCCACAAAGAGAATGTGCAGTGGGTATAAGGTGCGGAAGTAGAAGACATCGATGTTGTTCTTCACGGCCACCTAGGCACAAGGGGGTTCCCAGTAAGTCCCTGGGGCTTGATACCACCTCTGAGGTCCCAGGAAGGGCGTTGCTGAGCAGATTCTCTCCCAGGCCACTCCCTGGTAAACATACCCCTCGTCCCCTGACCTGGGCCTCCCCAACACATCTGCAGCTAAGAGCTTGACTCCACAGACACAGCCCTCTGCTGACCCCGGTGGGGCCCGGCTGGTGGATGGGTAAGGACTGGGGTGCCCGCCCTGCCCGGAACGCACCTGCAGGTTGTTCAGAGGCTCCATCTTCATGACCGAGCCCACTGTGCTGAGAGGCAGGGAGATCTCCACTGTCTGGTTGGGGCTGAGTGGCGCGTGGACCTGGAGGGGGGCGGCGGGGGCCAGGCCAAAGCTGGGGAGAGAGGAGCCCCGCAGGGATGGCAGGGGGAGCAGGTGCTGATGCAGGGCAGGTGAGCCCCTCGGGTTCGGGAGCTGGGCTGTGGTCAGCAGGGAGCCTCTTACCCTGCCAGCCTACCCACACTCCAGGCCATGGACAGAAGGATGGGCTCCCAGTCCTCCTCCTCTAGCTGGCCACGTGGACAGGAAGAAAGAACTCTAGGCCAGCTGCTCTGCCCCAGCCTGGCTGCAGGCCTGAAGCCCAGCTATGTTCCTGTCCTCTGGGCCAGACACTGGTGGGCCCAGGTAAGCAGGCCTTGCCCTGTCCTGCCCTTGAGGAGCTCTGTCTAATGCCAGGGGCCTGGAGGGTAAGCTGCTTCTACCTTGAAAGCTCTGAGACCACCCAAGTCTCTGCTGCCAATCCCCAACTCCCAGGAGGGATCTGAACATCCCAGGAAAGATGCTAGATTTTACCCTCTTGGCCAAAACTGGCCAGGGTCACACAGTGGCCACAGAGAGATTCAGGAAAGCCCTGCTTCTCTGCAAACCAGCAAAATGGCAAATTAGGAAGATCCTCATGGGTGTGAGACATGCCAGCCCCAGGCTCTTGGAAGTTCGTGCCCCCAGGGCATGGGAATGGGGGCACGAACGGAGTGCTCAGTATACCTGGCTGTGCATTCGATATTATAACTCCTAGCCTCATAAAAGTAACCAGGTACACTTCTTCCTATATCTAGATGCGGACACCGTCTCAGGGAGGAGCAGGCTTGGGTCAGACCCCATAGAGTGATTGGCACTGCTGAGAATCAGGGTTTGAGCTGCCTGACCCCAGCCTGTGCTCTGCCCAAGAGCCATCAGGCCTGGCTGGGACACAGAGGGAGACCACTTGGGGAACCTCAGGCCCACTTGGTGGTTCAGCACACCAGGCTTTCCTGGGAGCTCCACTACTGCCAGCTATGTGACCTGTCCAAGGACCCCAGTTGTCATTACCTACTAAAAAGGGGTGATGGCAGTGACTTTGCTGAGCCATCAGGTGGCTCAAGAGAGACAATACGCCCAAAGCCAGTGGCACAGGACTTGGTGCCCAGGAGGCATTCAGCACACAGTAAGCTTGCTAGAGGCAACCAGTGGGACCACCTCTCAGAGCCTGGAGCACTTCTGCGGCTTCCAGGGTCACGTGAAGGTGAATGGCAGAGCCATCCCCAGCCCTAGCCTGCCCGAGTCAGGACCTACTGGCCCCCAGGCTCTCCTGGGGAAACAGCCCCTTCAGTCAACTTCTTAGAGGCTCAGTTTGCTCATCATGAGCATGCTCAGGAAGAAGAATCATCAGGAGGGGCTGCCAGGGGTCCCCAGGAAGCCCTAGCCTCAGTGGCTGGGTCCATGACAGTGCCAGACAGGCAACTTTCCCACTGACACCGAGTGTAGGGGACCCAGTGGGAAGGAGGCTGGAGCATCTACTGCTCCCAGAGGCTCCATCTGACACTTTTAATCCTCTGCCATGCAGGGGGAGGCTGGCAGGCAGGCCCACTCCCTACCAGCCTTCTGAGAGCTGGTCCCTAAGACAGGCCCCACCCCCCGCTATGTGGGGTATTTGCCAGAGGTAGGCTCCTCAGCTGAAGCAGGACGTTCCTCAAGGGTTCAAGACCAACCTGGGCAATACCCTGAGCTTCCATCTAAAAAAAAATTAAAACTAAAAGGAGGGATGCCCTTCCCCACTCTGCCTGGTACTTTGGAGTCCATATGAAGAGGCCACTTGGGGGTAAAAATCCCACTGCTTGGCTGGGTGCAGTGGTTCAAGCCTGTAATCCCAGCACTTCGGGAGGCCGAGGTGGGTGGATTGTCTGAGCTCAGGAGTTCGAGGCCAGCCTGGGCGACATGGAGAAACCCCATCTCTACTAAATACACAAAAATTAGTCAGGCATGGTGGTGTGCGCCTGTAGTCCCAGCTACTCAGGAGGCTGTGGCAGAAGAATTGCTTGAACCTGGGAGGTGGAGGTTGCAGTAAGCTGAGATCGCACCACTGCACTCCAGCCTGAGTGACAGAGCAAGACTGTCTCCAAAACAACAACAAAACCCATTGCTTTAGAGAGTTCTGGCCCAAGGGATGGTGGGGAACATCCTCCAGAAAAGGGACACCACCCTCCCCCTGCTCCACCCCTGCCTGCAGTCCCCAGAACAGACTCCAAGTGGATTCTCTCCTAGGCCTCCCCTTGAGAGGTGTGCTGGCCTCAGGGAGCTCACCTGTTGCGGTTGAACTGGATGGCAAAGTCAGTCATGACCTGCAAGGCCTTGTTGGTCAGCTGCAGGTCCATGGAGATGGAGGCCACCTGGCGGGTGAAGGTGCCTGAGATCTCTAGCCCCTTGGCCTTCATGGCTGGGAGCCAGACCTGCAGGGAAGAGGGGGTGGAAGGGGCAGGTGGGTGCCTTTTCCCCCAGCCCAAACTCAACAGCCCACCTGAGAGTGCTTTTTCTCTTTCCTGCAGGCATCTCCCATATCCAGCACCCCCACCTTTACTGCTAGGGGATGACCAGGTGCATATCAGGAAGAGAATAATCCCATGTCCCACCGAGGACACCGCCATGACACAGCTGCCTCTCAGAGCAGCTTGGAGTGGGGAGGCGCTTGGGCGCTCAAGGGCTGACATGAATCCTCAGAGGGGAATGGAGGGACCTCTTGGGAAGGACGGCTGAGGAAGGCCATGAGCCAAGGACAGAACTCAGTGCCCAGTGGCATCCTGGGGCTCAGCCACAGCCTGGGCCTTGCTGGCCATCACCACCTGTCCTCTCTTGCAGGAGGTAGGGCTGGCCTTCGGTTGTAGAAACTGGTCTGACCAAGGACAGTACCTAGGAGGACCTGTCGCCTGGCTGGCCTTCCGCTGCTTGGCTGTCCTTGTCATTTGAGTCTCAGCTCAAGAACCACCTCCTCCTGGAAGCCTGCCCCCAGGCTCCCTCGACCCAGTGATGTTACAGCAGACACATACGAATTGTGTCTGTCTCCCCTGTACCCAGATAGCTCGCTGAGGGAAAGGCCCTATTTTTCTGTCTTTACCTCCTTGGCTCAGAGACTGGTGTGAAACCAGTGTTTGGGGAGTGTTTGCTGAGCAAACAGCGTAAGTTACAGCCCTGCCTGGGGAGGACATCCGCCAGCAGCATCTTGGGGACTCACAAACACTTCTCAGGCGGTTACTCTCCTACAGGCCCTTTGGGGTCAAAAGGCTCAAACCCCACCGACAGCTTCCGCAAGCGCATCCAGTGCCAATGAAGGTTCCCACTGTCTCTCAGGTTGCCAGTTTCAGAAACTGCAGAAACATTAGGCACCAGCCCCCGCCCCACTGTAACCCCCTTTAGGCAGTCACGCAACCCGTCTCGTTGAGGTCACCTCCTATATCTGCCTCCAGGGCCTCCACTCCTCTCCATCTCCAGAGGCACCACCAGCATTTGAGCTGCCACCAGATGTCCCCAGGTAAGACAGCGGCTACCAGGTGGTGCCCCATTTCCACTCTCTCCCCCTTTCGACAGCCGCTGAAGTCATTTTGTGAAATGCAAATCTGATCATGGCACCCTGAGAAACCCCTTCCAACCCTGCAGTGGCCTCCACAGCCTGGTGCCCATCTGCTCCTCAGGCTTGGCTTGCTCCCGCCCCTGGACCTCACACCCGTTGCTCTCTCTGCTTTCAAAGCGCTTTCCCACCCCCATCCTGCTTGGTTAACCCTGAGCACCCTCTGTGCCCCCTGGCCAGATCTGTGAGGACAGAAAGCAGCCTGCTTTGGCTGTCAGCTGTGCCATGGCAGCCGAGAGCACTGCGAGGCTGGCTGAACCTGAGCTGGGGCATGGCTCCCTCATGGACGCCTCCCCTGGGCCCCCATTGGGCCTCCTTTCCCCTGACCCTCTCTCAGTCGTCCGTGGCTGGGGATGGGGACTGCACTGCTCTTGGTCACTGTGGGTTCATGGTGTCTCACATAGGTCCTAACAATATACTGAGGTAACAATCTTCAATCTTTACTCGATGAACAAATGAACTGTCACCTCCAGCTGACCCAAATGCTTGAGGAGCCCAAAAGTTCTGATGCACAGCCAGCCTCGGTGCCTCAGACCAGCAGGGTTGGCCAATGGCTTTAACCCCACAGGTGGGGTGTGGAAATGTGTGAGGAATGAACAATTCCAGGTGGCCACAGGGCTGTTGGGAAGATGTGGATACCTACTGACAGATTCTGAAGGGACAGTGCACCTACACCCTAGAACCCTCCCATGACCAAGGCAGTGGGGAAAGTCCTGCCCATGTCATAAGGACTCCTCCTCCAGGGAGCCTGACCTGATGACTTGACGATCCCATCCCCTCTCCTTTCCAGCATGCTCTACTATACTCATGTGACTCTTCATAAAGACAAACCAGAGATAACACTTCTAAGATGAGCACACAGCCAGGCATGGTGGCACACACCTGTAATCCCAGCACTTTGGGAGGCCGAGGTGGGTGGATCACCTGAGGTCAGGAGTTTAAGACCAGCCAGGCCAACATGGTGAAACCCTGTCTCTATTAAAAATACAAAAAAATTAGCTAGGCATGGTGGTGGGCGCCTGTAATCTCAGCTACTTTAGGAGGCTGAGGCAGGAGAATCACTTGAACCCAGGAGGCGGAGGTTGCAGTGAGCCAAGATCATGCCATTGCAGTCCAGCCTGGGTGACAAGAACAAAACTCTGTCTCCAAAAAAAAA